GTGGGTGGAGGAGGGCTATAGAGTCTCGCTATCTCGACGAGAACCTTTCCTCTTCCCACCTCCATCACCCTGTTCTCCCTCCCCATCTTGCAGGATACTCACCTTTGACAGTTTGACATTGGCCGGGGATCCAGTCAAGGCGAGCGCTTCGGAGCAGCGGGGCTCGGCGCTCTGGGGGACTTAGCGAACAACGTTGTGAGTGAATCGTGCATCCAACCCTGCTTCAACCGCGAAGCGCGCGCATTCGCCGTTCGTCTGACGAGATACTCGCCATTCGCAGTGGAAACAGGAATGATCAATACCCTCAATCGTAGCACTCCAATCTTCCTCCAAGATGGCCGACACTGGACTGCTTCCTTCATCTCCGGCCGAGTCGGAGATGCAGGTGCCAGTGTTCGTGTCGACGTCGACGGCGGCGACCAGCACTTCGACCGCGCCAGCGGCCGCAGTGCCTCGGGCCCCGTCGGACATGGACATGTTCCTGTCGGAGTTCATGACACCATCGTTGGATGACCAATTTGGGGCAACGACGACTTCCTTTGAAGATTTGCTATCGGAAATTTTGGGGCCATCAGGTTCGGGATCAGAGCCGCCAGTTCCCCTAAGCACCGACCGGGTAGCAGCATCATCAAGATCACACGCTTCAGTAAGCACAGCCCACGCGCAGGGAGCAAGTTTCAGGCCAATAGCACCCTTGGGTACGACCCGCGGCAGAGCAGCTTTGTCGAGACATCAAGCCACATCCGGGATTGGCTCTGCACGAGCAGCAGCGTCCACCTTGGATGCGCCATCAGGCACACTCACCACGCAAGCCGCACCACCTAGGTCAGAACCACCATCGGCTTTGACTGCCACAGAGCTTGCTGTGCCCGACACTTCGGCGCCCTCTTCGGCAACAGCTCCAGCCACTAAGCCGAGCTCTCGACGAAAGAAGAGAAACGCACCAGAGGGTGCGGCCGATACGCTCTGCAAATGGCTTCGCACTGGGTGAGTGACATCCTCGAAAGCAGCATTTCTATACGCGGCTGACCCGATCGCGAGCTTCTCGTCGCGTGCTACCGCTCTTTTGCCTCACATAGCTATTGCGCACGTGGTCGCGGCTGCTGGTACAGTCACGATTTTCCAGACGATGAAGATGCTCCGCTGAACTCTCTTTCTGCGACCTCGTCAACGCATCAAAACACTGGCCAGGGCAGTTCTGTCCACCCAAGCGCGCAAGACGTCGTCGCTATGGAAGCCTCCAGCTCGACTTCTGCCGTCGCAACTCACGGTGCAATATCAACGGTACAAGCCAATGCGGAAGCACCGTCAAAACCGCGCTCAGTAGGCAGCGAGACGAATCAACACAACGTCGGCGGTGTTCCTTGTGCTTCTACGGAGCTGGGCGGTATCGCTGGCTCGACGACTCATTCGCCAATCGGCGAAGCTTCGGCAGCCGCATCTGGGTCCTTCAAGCACGGAAGCGGGCCAGCAAGTGCTGTTCAGAGTAGGGTAGATCAGTCCGGCGAAGAGCCTGAAGTGTGCTTGATGTGCCAGAACCCGCTCCCCGAGGTAGCAGCCATGTCTCCGGTCTGCGACCACTTTGCCTGTGTCCCATGTTGGACGACGTGGAGGAAAAGCAAGGGACGCAAGGAAAAAAAGTCGAATGTTGCCACCAATGTACACCAGTGCGTTCTCTGCCGGGAGGTGTGCTGGTACATGTGAGTCGATGGATTTGCATGCGCTCGTCAAGTTCATCTTTCTGACCAGCACCGTTCGAATCTTTCGCCATACGTTGCACGATAGCATACCGACTAGGGAACGTCTACGTACAGGACCTGAGAAGGATGCATTCATCGCAAATTGGCTTCAGGAGCACTCGCGCACAACCTGCCGTCACTTCCAGCGCACGTTGCGCAAGACGCGTGCGAAGTACAAGCTCGACCGCCCGGATTGTCCTTTTGGTGGTAAGTTCCGCCCTCCGCTCCAATACTTGGGCAAGGCTTGCCCCGAAACGTCGACTCACTGTGCTCTAATGCCCGACAGATCAATGTCAATTTGCTCATGAGCTCGATCCGGGCTCGGGCATCCGTCAAGCTCTTGGGTACAATATTGTCAGCGCTCCACGCCTCAAAAATAACGAGCGCAAACACGGTTATAATTCTTACAAAGTTGTCGTCGGACCTTCCTCGTTCTCGAAAGGCATCGATGCCGAGGCGGGAGACGGTGCCCCTCAGGAGACAATCCCTGCGCAAGTTGAGGCCTCAGCCGGTACTACTGCGACTGCAGCGGGCGATGCGTCTGTAGACACAGAACCAACGGGCACTGATGTTCCCGCCGCCGATCGTCTAGCGGGTGGAGACGATGGAATTTGGGCATTGACGACCTTGGACTCCGCCACTGACTCTACGGTGACGGCAGCAGGCAACGCGTCCGTAGATCCAGGACCAACGGAAACTGACATTCCGGCCGGCGATCGTTTGACCATCGGAGACGATGGATTCTGGAGATTGACGACCTTGGAGTCCACTAACAACTCTAGTGCCGATGGGGTCGGGACAGAATCTGCTACTCAAGCGCCCACACCCATGGATGTCGACGCTCCAGGATCCATTGCCACAACGGCTGCGATCACGGATGCACAACTCTCTCCCTCTGCGGTAAGTCATGACAGTCTCATAGACCGTCCCATGACGCCGCTTTCTGAGATTTGAGCGACTATACGGCAACAGCAAGGCGCGCAGGACCCTGATATCATCGTAGGGACAGCAACACCACCGGCGACCGCTTCTAGTCCACACAACAGACCCACAGCTGCTCCTGCAGCTGAAAGGACCGACTACAGCCAGGTCATGCCTGACTGCTTCTTGTCAAGAGAGCTGGCCAAGTACCATCGCGCGTACATGGAAGGCGCTATAAGCTTTGACCGAGCCAAGGCGCTGCTTCATGCGGCTATTTTTCGCGCTTCGACTCGAGCAGTACCCAGGGACCTATGGTCCACGCAGCTTGGCGTGGTCAGTACCACGCTCTACGCGCACCTCGAGCAAGCTGGAAGAATGATTCCGGATGCAGCAACTCGACGACGCAGACTTTTGCAGGCTGCTTACCTCGGCGAAGACATTCCGCAGGGATCCCTAGGCCCAAACACTGTGCCGGATGTCCCAGTTGCAAGGCGAAAAGGTCGTAATTTGAGGCGGACGCGCATCACGCACGCAGCAGGTCACGCGCAACCTCGCGAGACCACCACAGTCATCGACGGTGGCCCCGCAATCACGGCTCTCATTGAATTTGCGGCGCTAGAATTGGGTGACCCTTTGCTTTGGGTCCCTCGCATCTTGCGCATCCCAACTCGGCAAGCGTCGGACGCCGCTATAGACGAAGACCACGGACCGAAGGCAACGTGTCCCCCATCCAATGTCACAGTTATGACTCAGGCTGTTCAAGTTGCCTTGACGTTCGTGCCTAGGCCAGTGCGCATTGCTAGTCACTTTGGCGTTCCGGTAAACTTATCTGCACCTCCCGTTCCGGCGCCACTCCCGCCACATATCGGAAGCTCGGCCATCCAAAGGTGGATTGAAGGTCTGCCGCCCCGAGTGCAGCGCTATCTTGCAGCACGCAGGCCAGAATACCGACCTCCCGATACGGAGAACGCTGATCCGGGCCCCAATCAGCGAAACAACAACGTCCGGGAGGAAAGCTTTGTTAAGCCAGTCTGTTTCTTATGGGTCAGTCACTTGGCTGAGAAATTCATCCGCAGGCACGGCAGCATATCGGCCAGACCTGGTGATGCGGTCTGGAGCAGCGGTCACCTCGCTGCTCACGTCAAGAAGTTCATGGCGTTGTGCAAGCCCTTGGGTAATGTTGGCCTGGCAACGACCGTGGCTGGCGTCGAAGCTTCATTCCAGCGCATGCCCTCTAGAATCAAGCATATTCTTCCAAACTTTGCCGCATCCCTCTGGCGTGCATTTA